GTGCTTCCTGCATCAGACAACAAGCACTTTAGCTACCCCACTAAAAGAAGAAAATAAACCCATCAGAGCAAGGGACCACACTTCAATGGTGTTAAACTTTGACCACCCTTCAGCAGAGACAAGCTCAGCTACAAACCTACAGGGCTGCTCCAGTGACTTCTCTGGACATCTGATGGTAAGTAACGTAATTATAACCTGTTACTGGCTGTACACTAAAACAATCACAGAAAGGCTGCCCAAGTGATCCTGGGGCTTCTTTTCAAAGAGACAAGGTTTGGACTAACAAATGTTGAAAAAAAAGCCAACACTTTAGGACAAGAAAAAAGAGCTTTTTAGTGTGCAGTTTTAATCCTGACTTTAACATGCTCACAGGCTAAGCACAAAATTCACTCATACAAATATCTTAAGACTCTCCAAACTGACACAAGCTCCCTATTGCTACCACACATCAAGCTCAGGAAAAGAGGCTTATTTATTTAAAAATACACTTTATTTACAAGACATCCAAACTTCATTTTGGAAAAAAAAAAAAAAAAATTACCTGTACATAAAACTTTACATAATTTTTCACTACAAGTTAATAAAACCACAGTGAGATTTTCCATCCATTGACTCAGCAATCATGTAAATTACCTTTTGGCACCTTATTTAAATCACATAATGAACAGAAAACTGGAGGAAAGTTTTAAGCAACACAACTCCATAAATGTAACAACTTTATACAGTGACATCCTCATACCAAGGTATCACTGCTCAAATAAAAGTATTTAACATAGAAAGTGCTTCAACTGTACAGCAGAGTCAGTAGTAGAACCTATAGAAATCTTCATAGTGTTAGAATTATCTTTTCAGAAATGTCCCTTTTATCTACTTTCCAATTAACAATCCAAGCTTTCCTCTAAGGTGTTAATGAATGACTAATGGACCCTAGTGATTTCACTATACTTTCTCAGCCTTAGAAACCAACCTTTTAAAAAAAGTTGGTTCCAGTGGCATATTTATAAAGAATTTAAATATAAATATTTATATCCCAGGATGATTACTTAGACAACACTTTGACATAGACCACAAGACATAAAACAGTCCTTGGAATAACTCACATCAAGCCATTCACAGACCTTGGGTGATGAACTTCACTTTGGAAAAATGCAGATGCTGGCACATTCCCCCCAAAGTTCAGCACAAAAAGGAGTATTCAGGCTGGTAAGTGTAATAATCACAGAAGGGAGGGGGAAAGAATTGGGATAACTAAACCAGGTCAAAAACTGGTCTGCCATGGTGAAGTGTATCATATAGCAAAACCAGAAAGCAGGTGGATTGAAATAAAATGGAGAGCAAAAATTAAACCAGTGCATAAAAGAGGTATTTCTAAGCTAAATTTTATGCACATCACTATGATGAGGAGACCAGCAAAACCATACTGCTTTTATTAAAGAGACAAAGAATAAGAAAAATGTTAAGAAGAAAAAAAAACACAGTTGCACTACGAGTTAAAATAGGTCAAAGAATACAAGGAAAAGGAAGTCAACTGAAAACTTCGTAAAACAAATGCAATACTCCTAAAAATAGCATCAGTTCTTTTTCTTTACATAGAAGAGCAAAGGCAAGATCTGCATTGAAAGAGTTACAGGAGAACAGAAAATTATCAAATTGACATGTTTGATTGAAGGGTAACGTATGAAAAGATGACAAAAAACCTGAATTTGCCTGCGACTGATGAAGGCCAGTAAATTGCTTTTGTGTTCAATGCCATGTTCATTTTTTCCAGATTTCAGTCTTGCTCCAGAACTATCTGCCAAGGCTAGAAAATGTTTCATTTTCATATAAGTAGGTCACACATGCTCCTGGTTGTCAATCAGAGGGCCACAGAAGCTGGACAAGTTGTTGAAAGCCACCTGTGTTTTAAGCAACTTCCTTTGCTACAGACAGTGACGGACAGACAGGGGCAACCACTGCAAGAGACACTGAATGCCATAATGGTGCCATCAGAAGGGAGCGACTGAAGAGGACAGGGTAGCACACACAATCTGCAGTCATCAGAGATTTTACATCACTGAATTGGAGGAGAAAAAAGCAATTAAGCTTTTTAAGATTATTAAAATGAAGAGGCCAGAGAGAGTTTTTTAATGGCAGTGCAATACACTACAAAACTGAATATAGAATGAATGCTCTTAGAGAAGGGCAAATACTGAACTACACTGTATTTCAAAAAAAGGTGAGCATACATCAAAAGAAACAGGACAGATATGCCAAGAACTGAAGGGAAACAAGCCAACACAGAATAGAGACTGATTGGATTGAAGTCTTCTGTAGAAGTAGAGAGGGGCCAACCAGAAGACTTGCAAGACACTTAAAGCACTGGAGGAAAATATGTTGCTGCAGGACTCAAATGAAGGCAAGGATACTGATTCAGAAACGAAAGCTGATAGGCTGTAAGGCCCCACACAGAAAATGCAAGGTTCACCTCATCAATAATGCAGCTCTGCTGGTTTTTCTTGCTTAAGTTAAAAAAGGAAATTTTCATCTGCTTGTTTTTTAGACCTGAAGATTTCTATAATCCCTGGTATTTTCCTTTTTATTCACATGCAACAATATGAGTACATTCAACCAGCCAAGAAAAAAAAAATAATAAATAAAAGTTACAGAATGTTACTTCATTGTATTTTCAGGTTACAACACTTTTAAAAACTTCAGAAATAGATAACAAAAGTTCTAACAAACACTGGAAGGATAAAGAAATATATGGTCCATTTTGTCAAATGCCCGAACGCTACACATACAGTTTTCTCCAATACCAGAGTAAACAGTACTGCTATTCCATCTTTCAATCTTTCAATCATATAATAAACTCTATATATAAAACAATTACCTGATTTAAGGAAAAAATGCATAATTATGAAAGGGTGTTTGTTTTAAAAGATATCTGGGAAGTAGGTTCTCCCATAGACTTGGTTGTTATTTTGGGAGCTTCCTATTCCAGTTCTCAAAAAGCCTATAAATGTATTTGTTATTTATATCTAAACCCCAGCATTTAAACATTGTCATAGATTTAAATAAGAAAAAAAAGAACTGAAGAACGAGGTGTTTTACTTTATGCCACACACTTTTAAAAGACAGAGCAATTCTTAAAACGTTTCCTGGTTTACATTAATTCATGCAATAACTGCCAAGCAAGATCCTGCTGCTTTCACCTCTGCTGCTGCCAACAGAATCAAAGAGACTGGATGACCAAGCTTTAAATTATACAAACATGTACTTTAATTTATATAATACAAACCTGCAATAGAAGGCTATAAAATATATTAACCCAAGTATCTGTGTAAAAGGAGTAACTACAAATCTAGAAATGTGCTATATACCCTGCTGTGTGGTTTAATAATCATTGACAATGTAATCATCCTTATTAATAAGCAGTTGGCTGCTTTTGAGTCAGCCTTACAAGGAGGTCCTGGTATTTTCCCAGCCCAGGCAGGGAATCAATTTTCCCTTTCTGTTAAGGTGTCACTGAAGTAAAGACACTACTATTTTATAGAGGCATCACCCAAACCAAAGGAATAAAATAGCCTGCAAAGACTATTGAAAGGCTGCTTTTGACACAAAAATGTATTTGAAAGCTTCTGAACCTGGTCTGCATAGGCAGTGAAGCTAAGTACTGCACTTAGCATGGATTAGGTAATGGGTTTCCTCTCCCAAAAATGCGGGGAACAGACCTGACCCAAATCCAGCACTGGTGACAGGGCACATCATCTTGTTTCCCTTATAGCACCCCTGCATGCCTTAATAAAAATAAAAGGGCAAGCAGCAAAAAGATAAAGGAACTGTTTCACTACATATACTTTAAAATACTCTTTTGGGCAGGGGAAGCTAGGGGAGGACAAAGGGGAAGGCTTAGACCTTTAAAATAAATCAATAATTAATACTAAAGAAGGAAAAATTCCCTGTGATATTTTTTAAAGCTTCCTCTAATTAATAACACTGAATATAAACTTTAAAGAGACTTTAATAATTAATAAAATATTCAATGGTGTCTCATAATAGAACTGCAGAATTTTAACTGTTCATAATAAATGCATTAGCTTATTTATTCAGCATGAATAGCAACAGACACAAGGTGCTTAAGATATTGCAATCATCCTGCAAAATTATTAATTAAAGCAGTGGCTATTCTAATTTCTGTTGCCAGGAGAAAAAAAAAATTAAAAACACTGAGTTGTACAATCACTACAGTGAACAAGGTAAAAGATAACAGGGAGACTGCCTGCATTTCCATTTGCTAGGATCAGTACAGACAATGCTAGAATTTCCTTGATGTCAGGATGAGAAGAGTATTCTTCAGCATATTTATCTGTGATTAGGCTCAGGCTCCAGTATTACTAGAAGAGAAGCAAGAACAGCTTCTGCTCTGTCCCTAAATACAAGAGTCAATCAAGAAAACAATGTAAATCAAAATTCCTGAGTGCTTCCCCTCTCCCTTAGACACTCAATTTTATTCACAAACCCCACTGGCCAGAAGCACAAGTGTTACGGTTGAACATGAACTGTCTGTGCAAAAATGCGGTTTAAAGAAAGCATCTCCACTGTACATCACCTACATACAGTACTTTAGCCAAGTACCATAATGAACTGGCCACAAGACTTTCAGGAAACAGCTCACTTCAGCAGAAAAGGCCAGAGTTTCATTCCCAGTGCCACTGGCCATTAACTGCAAGCATCAGTGCAGACAACAAGACACCCCATCCACTCTAACAGGAATTCACATATAGTTTGGCAAGAAACTGGGTTAGGCTGTATCAGAAAAACCTTAGACGAATGCAACACCCTTCTTGGAAATATTAGTCCTTATTTCAGATACAAGGGGGTTTTAGGTGTATTTTGGTTTACAGCCAAATCATGAAACTCTTTTGCTGTACCAACTTCAGCTACAACCACTGATGCCCCCCCTCCCAGCCAGGAGACGTTTGTTCTGGGAAAACATTATTACGCTGGGTAGAGGGAACTGCCTAAAGTCGTGTACTGCTCAACTGTGATTTATCATCAGACACACCACGAGTTTTCACATTTTTAATGCTGTCCTCTGCCAGTGGGGACTCAATAGGGATTTCAATATCACTTCTACTTGAACCATTGTCTTTACGCAGAGCAGAACGGTGACTGTTGTTTTTCTCAGTATAGCCATTGGTTTTAGCCAGGGAGGGCTCCCGCTGACTGCAGCACAGCTGAGAGTCACAGGATTTTGAGATGCAGGGAGAGCTGCACAGGAGCTGGGAGGTCTTGTGGTCAATGTACTCAGGCTGGATGGTCACAGAATGGACCCCTGCATCGTGGAAAACCTTCCGTATTTTATAAGCAGCATCTTGGTAATCGGTAGGGGTTTGGCACTTGATATGAAGAGTAGCAATATTCTTCCCACCTGCGAGCTCCCAAACGTGCACCTCATGAAGGCTGCTAACCCCCGGTACACGAGCTAGTCTGTCAGCTGGAAGATGTAAGAGAAAGATATTAGAGGCTTTGGGGACTGGCTAATTGCTAGCTTTCCCATTAAAGGCCCTACATGAAAGCAGCAGTCTCCAAACTATCAATTTAAAGAGAGTTATACTTAGTAAAATATGTCTACTCCCAGCTGCTTTCAGTTCAGCCACCAGATGACCACATGAGCAGGCCACTCTTGTTCTGGTTTCACCCCATCCCTCATATGCTCTAATGGCAATTTACCAGCCATTGATAGAAGCAGCATTAGAGCACTGCTTCCTCAGCCAAGAGCCCACATCTTCTGGTTTCTTTACCCCTTGAGCATGGTGGAATTCCAGAAATAACCAGTGCTATCCCACAATTAACCAGTGTGAACAACACCAGAGAGCTACAAAATTAACCAGCCTTAATGGATATTTCTAAGCTGGTTTGGAAGCCTTTTGGAAGAAGCTGCTGCAGGGTTGGGAAATACTGTGATTCAGTGTTGTTTCTCTCACAAACACCCCACACAAAGCATTAACAGCTCAAGACCTGGTATTTTTATGTTTTGTTGAAGTACCACATTCTCAAAATGCATGCTTTAACTAATCCAGAGAGGTTTGAATCATGTTGCTAGGACACAGGCATGTGACCATTTCTCACAGTTCTTGAGAATTTAGAGCTATTATAAGTAAATAATCCAAACATGTCATTCCAGAAATAACATATGCATTGAAATATATAATTAAAATTAATAGCATTTCAACAACAAATTTTACTTACTCAGTACTTGCATATTAACACCTTTGGGAACCATCTGCAACAAAATAGTTGAGGTCTCCTTGATAAGTGGGAACGCAGAAGACAAGATGATGAACACCATAATTATTGTCAGGCTTGGATCGATGTAGCACTGCCAGTTACATGGAGCATCCCCCAGGGGAAGTACTTGGAAGATTGTAGCAGCAACTACCACGACCACAGATCCAAGTGCATCTCCCATAACATGCAAAAGAACACCTGAAACAAATGTCACAATTTCCAGTAGTAGGGTGAGGGGTGTTTCGGGGGGGAGGAGAGGAAAGCTGCATTTTTCAAGTCTGTTCTACATGAAACATGCAATATTCCAAGCACTAGCAGCATAACCAAAGTTTTCAGTAACAGCTTTCAGAAAAAAAAAAAAAAATAAAGCAAGGGAAATACTGACTCTGAACCAGAGCTGCCTAAGTGGGATGCATTACTAAACATGTAGGGTTATACTAGCAACTGTGGTCCAACTGCAATGCCATGGCAACATAAAATGTGTTGGCTTAAATGCCTGCAGATTATTAAGAGATCCTGGCACACTGATTCTCAATTAAAAATTGATTACTAAATCCATCTGTTCTACCCCAGAACCTAAGAGAGCCACAGACTCACTACTCCCAGTAGGTTATTCTCCTCCATCAGTTTCTATGACACTGTCTGAAAAATGACCTAAGTGAAACCGAAGCCCATTCATATGGCTCCAAACGCCCTCAAACCCCAATTTTTGGAGGAAGGTTGATTACTGGTCCTATGAAACCTTGTCTCACTTACATTGCTAGCCACAGAAATATCACAATCTGGTTTGAGAGTGGTTCTCATGGATGCCATGGTTTAATACGTGCCTGGACTACTCTGAATTGAGAGGAAAGCTGGGTACCACTTTTTTCATCTCTAGGCGAATTTTGCACAAAAGGTAATGACACAAACCAGCCTCTTGCAATAACACATTTTTAGCTGCCCTTTCAACTGTAATGACCAAAGTAGTCTTCTTGCTGTATAGCTGCAATAATCTAAGAACTAGTTTTTTTCTTCCTTTTTTTTTCGGTGTGTGGCTTTTTTTTCTTCATTTGGGTTGGGGTTTTTTCTGTTTTTCTGTTTTACTACTTTACCTAATCTTCTCTCTTCCTGTCATGGCTCAAATGCACTCCAGTTTTGTCAGCCTTTCCTGTTCAGTCTCAGGCATAGGTTGGAATGAAATTTGCTTCATAACATCTCCAAATAGGTTATGTTAATTTTTTGTCAATACTTTTTACACTGATCGTCTCAATGGACTATCTCCTTTTTACATCCCTATGACAAGCACTTTCAAGAGCTTCACTCCAATTTAATCGCTCCCTCCGGGCTGCAGAAGCTGTAAAAAGGCTCCCTTTGAAACTCATTAACTATGCAGCAAAGAGTTTTGACTCTTTGATGATGCTGGACACTGGATTAGACCTAGAGCTGTGCCTGTGCCGCTGTTCCTTGCCAGCTCTTCGCATGAACATTTATCTTCAGCATGAGAAATGAAGGCAATAACCACTGGAGTTTCTCCAGATCACTTGGGTCAGATAAGAAAGTACAAACTTCCAGTGAGTGCAGTTCTTTCTGCTAGACCCAGGCATATTCTGCCCCATTTGGCAGACTCCCACGGGGCTTTACTCCTAACAGAGTTGCAGTGTTTCCTTTTCATTTACAAATAATCCTGATTCAGCATGGGCTATCAACTATTGCATGAAGAAGAGGGACAGGCAGGATGCAATTGCCAAGGAAACTAACTAGAGAGCACAGCTTAAAAAAAAAAATAACAAAACAAAACAATAACAAAAAAAAATACAACCCAAACAAACCAACGAAAAAAACAAAAAGACAACACACAAAACCTAAGAAATTAAACAAATATCTTAAAAAAATTATGATAAATTATGAATTAAGAATATGGAATTTGGAAAACACTTATTTTACGTTATTAACATTCTTAATATGTCCATCTTGGTTACCCATCACACAATGAGGGCTTAGACAGAAACTAATATATTTCCCTATAGACCCCCAAAAGCCATAAAATAGAACAAAAAATCAAATTTTAGTAAACAGAGTCAGTATGCCATGACAACAGGTAATGCCTAATTTCCAGCAGCTTATGTTGGAAAGTCTGAACTACTGTGCATATGCTCAAGAAGTAAAAGGAATACTTTTACACTACTATAATTAAGCCTGTCAGGCAGAATGTCTGGATTTCTGTTCCTACCACTTTTAAAAATCAAGGAACCAATTTCTCTGCCAATCCATTTTGCCCAGCCATGTTTTTCAGGGACACTCCACTTCTATAACACACAGAATTTTTTGACAAGTGACAATGAAGTAAGTATAGCTGTGTAACTAATTTACAGCAGCAAAGAAAAAAACATGGATTTTTAAATCAGAATTTGAAAGACACGTATCTGTAACACTGGCTGAAGAAGCAAGGAGCATTTGTAAGGAATGTAAGAATAGACTTTGAAAAGATTACATACCAGAGCTAAAGTAGCGCTTAGAGAAGAAGTCTCTTTTTAAAAATCAAAGACAGGTATCTTGAAAATAACTGATGTAAAACTCCTTATCCTTCAGACATTTTTTACTGTTTCCAGCATCATTATGCCTAAGTACTGTTGTTCAGGCAAGTAAAGCCTCCTCTAAAATATACTCAGCAATTTCTTATATTCTCTCCTCCATCCCTGGAAGTGACAGTTCGCTTTTCCTGCTCCTGTCCTCTTACCACTCTAATGCCATAACATCCTGTAACAACAATTCCTAGACATTCAGGAAAGTGTTGTGGCTCCAGTACATGCTTTGATTTCCAGAGTGTCTTCCCCTACAGACACATCTGTGTAACCCTGAAAATACTTCTGAACACTTGACAGCTCTTTCCTTGAGGGACAAACTCAACATTTAATATACTCAAAGGTTTTGGGCTCTGCTCAAGAACAGGTACATAAATGTGCATACATATGAACACCTATTCAGACAGGAAGAGAGACACTTGGCTAATTGATTCCTTGAAGTTGCTATTCAGTTTCAATGTGCAGATACTCAGAGACAAGGTAAGAAAGGTTGGTTCTGTGACCGACTCTGCCGGGAACAAGGTTCACAGTTCAAGGACATGGAAAAACCACTGTGCTGAAGCACCAGTTTCAGCACGTCTTCCTCATGCTGATGACAAAACATTGTTAACCTCAGGATTTAAAGAAATTCTGTTTTCTCTCCAAAAGCATTTTAAAGTTGAAAAGTGCTCAGCTGCTGCAGTGACCCTCGAAGAAGCACCTCATAGATACCTGCTTTATCTTCCCGTAAGGCCTCTAGTGATGTGTGCCTGATGCAAGAGCCTTTGTCTCCTTTCCAAGAAGTTCAGCTGCACTCTTCTAAAGAGCTAAGATCAAAATGCAAACACTCAGAGCCAAATCAGCACCACACTGTTTTGTTACATATATCTATGCTATTTCATACAACCAAAACCTTTTTGCTGAGAGTAACTGGGCCCTTATACACAGATGAATCCTGGGCTTTTGCTCCATTTCTTACTGATACTAAAAAAAAAATAATAATAAAATAATCTGAAAATGAAACCAGAAAGTGTTTAAAGTTAATATAATATTAGTAGTATGCTGCCATACCTCTGATGTTCAAGGCTTCAGACTTCTTTGGTTTTTTCCTCTCAGGCCCCTCTTCAGGGCTCTTTTGGTCATTTGGGGAGTCACCTGCATTCAAAGAAGAAACGCTGTGTTGTGTATAAGTTCTACAAACAGAAAAGACATCATCCTTCTCAAAACCAGCTTATTTCAAAGGTGACGAGAAGAAAAAGGAAAGAAAATGAAACAAAAACCAAGCCAAAACATTTTCCTATGCAGCTCTGGGAGCGATGCCTCCCTCCCCCCTTCCCGAGGGTGTAAAGTACAAGGAGAAAGAGGCAGGGTGTCTGAGCGAGCTCACGGAAACTCGCTGGGGCCCAGGGGCAGGTTTGGGGCTCCGAAAGGGCCCAGAGGACGGGCCTGGGCGGGTCGGCGGGTCCCAGGAGCTGAGAGGCAGAAGGGAGGGGACGGAGAGCGACGGGGAAAGGTGTGAGGGGTGGGGAGCGGTGCGGGGAAGAAGGTTGGACGGCGAGGCGAGGATGCAGCCGAAAGGCACCTGCTTCATCCTCCATCCCGGGCGGGGCGGGCGACGGGGGGCGGTGGCAGCGGCAGCAGGAGCTCCAGTCCTGGAAGACGAGGAGCCCCACGAGGTTGACGGCGAGGCCGAGGGTGCCGACGATGAGCACCAGCTGAGCATCGTCGATGGGCTCCGGGCTGGCCAGGCGGAGGGCGGCCTCCACGAAGATGG